GAGGAGATAGAGAAAGGGGGGAGAGGGAGAGAAGAGGATAACGAAATAACCTTGAGATTGATTTTTTGTTTATCGAATATTTGCTTTTGTCATGATTATTTTACTTGATGTTTGATTCACGCATTCACTTGGAAATGTAATTTAATTTGTGTTTGCTATAATTAACTATTTGGTTCTATTTTGATGATCATTCTTCTAATACAACATTTAATTCACTTATGTTTAATTTTAGTCAACTATTTGCTTCACTTGTGATCATTATTCTTTTTGTCTAATTTCGAAGTTATTAACTTTTGAAGTATTGAATAATTAATGGTTTTTATAGTGGTTGCTGTTATGTTGATATAACATTGTTTTGAATGTTGTTATTTTTGTTTTCATCAAGTTTCATTACTGATGATTATATAAGTTAACTGTCTAGTTGTATATAAAGTGTCAAAAACCCAAATGATGTGTTTGTTATTTTTTGTGTATTTTTATATCATTTCAATGCATTAATATTATTAGTTAATAAATGATGATTTTCATAAAGATTTAACTCAATCCTTGAATTGCTCTGATTGATAATGGTAATATTGTCACATTGAAATTCACTGATTAACAATTGAGAACAACTAATTATCAAATTAACATAATGAGTCTTAATACTGAAGAACATTAAAAAGAATGACATGGAACAGGGGCGTCAACATCTTTCTCATTCTCTCTCTCTGAAATGTTATAAAATAATAATTTTACGTTTGTTTTCACAATTTTCCACGACGGTTTTATATCGTCGAATGGACAGTAAAAGTTTTTTTTTTTATAATTTCATTATTATTATTATTATCCTCCTGTTAAGATTTACAGAGATCATGTATTCTAAAATCTGTCAGTGAAAGAGCGAACTGTCTGGCAATTTGTATTTCTCTGTCAGTCAATCAGTCTCTCTGTCTGTCTGAATCTCTCTCTCTCTCTCTCTCTCTCTCTTCTCTCTTCTCCTCTCTCTCTCTCTCTCTCTCTCTCTCTCTCTCTCTCTCTCTCTCTCTCTCTCTCTCTCTCTCCCTCCTCTCTCTCTCTCTCTCTATTTTTTCCTTCTCTCACTCTCCCTCTCTCTCCCTGTCTGTCTGTCTGTCCTCTCTCTCTCTCTCTCTCTCTCTCCTTCCCTCCCTCTCTCTCTCTCTCTATTTTTTCCTTCTCTCACTCTCTCTGTCTGTCTCTCCTCTCTCCTCCTCTCCCTCCCTCCTCTCCCCTCTTTCCAATCTCTCAATCTCTCTCTCTCTTGAGAAAAGATTGTATGCTCCCTCTTACCCTGTGTGCTATTTCTCTCTCTTTTTTTGACTTCCCTCTCTTTCCTGCTTTACTCTTTCCTTATTCCTCTGTATCATCCTATCTCCTTTCCATCCTTGCCTCTCGACACTTCTTTCCATCTATCCTTCCCATGTAGAAAAAATATATGAATGAGAATGAGTATCTTCACAATACAAGGGATGTATTTGACAAGTTTTTTTTCATTATCATTATATCAGAAATACATCTATTTTTGATGAAGATATTTACGAAACCGGTTAAATACATCTGTATTGTGAAGATATTCATTCATATTCGTGCCTTTTCCACACTTGTCAACACGATTGCGCTTTCTTCTTGTTCTTCTTCTTCTATTTCTTCTACTTTCTACTTCTTCTGAATTCATGCAAATATATATATTTCTACCAGCTGTGGTGAAAAGACTGAAAAAATGCATATTGGCGAACGTTATTTTTAAGCCAGAAATTGTTGGATATTTTTCCTCATTCATTTTCCTCATTTGATTGCTATGCTCTTTCGCGGGCTTTTGTCACACTATAAAAGCTGGTCTTGGCATCACGAATAGTTGTTGTTATAGATGTAAAATACTTTGTTCGGAGTCGTCCGTTGATTTGAACTTCATTGAGGAACTTTAAAAAAAAAAAAAAAATGGACATACCGTATGAGAAACAAAATTTCATGTACTAGTAATTATGATAATGGAGTACAAAATTGATATTTGCAAATGACATCCCAAGAAAACGGAAGAAAAAAATCACTCATTGATAACCCAGGTACAGAATGTCGGGACGTATTGCAATCTTTCTAACAGGAAATGGCCATGTACATGTCTTGCCTTTTGTGATTAATTCCAGGTGTTATTATCGGTGAGATAGCTAGTGACGCCTATTTCCTGTCACTTCCTTTCCAGGGTTTTTGTATGTTGTTTATCCAATAAGAATGCTCTCGGGACTGATAGCACACAAACTCAACTCGATTTGATGAAAGTAGATATAGATGTCTAGATTAATTACCTTAGTCCAGCCCTAATTACATTTTCTAATATATATATATATATATATATATATATATATATATATATATATATATACATATATATATATATATATATATATATATATATATATATATATATATATATATATATATATATATATATATGTGTGTGTGTGTGTGTGTGTGTGTGTGTGTGTGTGTGTGTGTGTGACATAGTTTTTTTTCACATACAATTTTTAAAATCTGGTAACTAAATTTTTACTGTTAAATTTCTTTGAGTAGTGTAACCTAACAGTCTTCAGGCTCGTGGGGTGGGAATGGATCCACTTCTCTGATTAGCGTGTGCCAAATATTATAACGGTCATGGAAACATTTCTAATCATTAATATCTTATTCAATAAATAAATGATAATGAGCAGGTGGCATAACATCGTGTAAATCTTATTGATAAATGTAATAATTTAAACAAGCAATATTTTCAACTAAATTCATATCTGAGGTTAACTCTATACCCTCCCTTTTCCTATTAATCATAAATCAAAAATATTTTTAATGATCAAAGTAAAAATATACATGAGACAGAATCGAGACCCTCTCACCAAGTCTATCAGTACTGACATAAGTCAATCGTTCCCCTTTCTTCAATCTTTACAATTTTCCTCTCGTACACTTCCCTCGAATAAATGATTTCATTCTCAATTTATTAACTGATACCACCAGAACTGTCACCTACGACTAATTGTATTACTGTATCCACGGACCATTAAAATAAATGAATAAATAACAAATAAATATTCCCTAGCAACAAAGCGTTATGGCGTGTTGTTTTCACTGGGTTTTCTCATCCTTTTCATGTCCCTTTCTCTCTTTCTATTTACGGGAGAAGGGCAATGACTCAACTGAATTATGACAATTCAATACACAGGCATTCCTTAATTAAGTTATTCGAGTTATCAAGCATTTCAACAAAAAATATCACGGTAAAACAACTTTTATACTAGCCCAACAACTTGTCTGACGAGAAATAAAATAGAGAACTTACTGCTTTCCCCCAAATGAATTACTAACATTTAAGCAAACAAAACATTTATATAATATTATCATAATTTACTCT